GCTGACGGGCCTCGTCACCGGCTGAGACTGTGGAGGAGGTTTTGGCCACATAAAGATTTTTCCTTTTAACTTTCTTGCCTTGGATCATCACCCTACAAGGTGTGAGATAAAGCTGAGCTCTAAAGGAGTTGACAGCGTTCATCACTGCACTGTAGGTGTTCAGCCACCTTGCAAGACTGAGTTATCATTTGCTTTATTGTGTGATATGTGTATTGCTCTGTGCTTGCAACAGCCCAGGCTTTTGAAATGGAAGCACCTGATGTTCATAACAGCAACAAGAAAGCAAAACAAATGTCTGAATACCCAAACCTCCGTGACAGACAATGCATGTGCTACTGCAAGCTTTCTCTGTGATGATGAGTTTAGCTGACAGAAATATTCTCAGAAACACAAGTTCATGAGCTCCGTGTGCAGCAATCGCAGAACCAGTATTTTCCATGTGCTAAGAGCAGCTCTGTGATGGCTGCAATCTTGGTCAAAACACTGGGGTTGAACTGGAACTAAAGCTAAAAGCCCAGTTTGCTCCAATGCAAATTAAAGGTCTCCATTTGAGCTGTAGCAAATACACACTGGTTACATTATAGAATGTAATTTAGTACAGATGGTTATGGAAGCATACAGATATGAACCTACAGGCTTTGAAATGCCTTCCTGAGGTTCTGTTAGTTTCTGCAATGTATGTGTTGCTGGTGCAACGGCACTTTGTGTAAGACTTTGGCTAGATGGGATTGACTTTGGATCTAAGTGCGTAATGGATGCTAGAGCCGAACCTTCAGTATAAAATAGGCCACATGGTTTTCACATAAAAGCAACTAAATTTGTAGTGTGCTAATGAGTTAAGCCTGAGATGTTTATAAATTAGGTAATAAAGGCACCAAGATGTCTGTGCCAGATATTGGTGAAATCAGGCTGTGACTTTCAAGATACTGGCAAAGTTCATGTTGAATGACGTTAGGCATTTTTGACATCGTAGTACGGGTGTGATATGTTTTTACTCATAGAATGAAACATCCAGAGTATAATGCACAGTTTCTAGCCAGTGGAAATAGCTTACAAAGGTGTGGGTAAAACTAGACAGTCTGGAGAGGGACCATTTCTATGGGATGAAATATCTCCAGTCTACTGTTTGTTTTGCTATTACCAGCTGAGAAATTGTGTTGCTGACAATAAATGCCAGGGATCTTGCCTGACTATAGTAATAAGTAAGTTTAAACTTTGTCTTGCTGCTACCACTCTGAAGATATCTACCAAAATATATTTAATAACTTTCACATTATTATTTATTGTGATGAACTCTATTTAACTAATCTAACAGCCAATACACAAATCATCCAGTGCATATTCTGTAGTGAATGATGAAAAAAAGCCCTTCCGTTTGATTATATATTAACTTGGAATGTATATTTTCAATCCATGGAGTAAAATATTTGAACAGAGAAAAAACACCCAACTTACTGAATGATATTATCCATTACAAATTACTTTTTCACCTCTCATCAACATTATACCTTTATCTAAGAGTGGAATGGAAGGTGGACATTAATATTCAAAACCAACACAGGGCATTAGATGTTACATATCACTGTACAGAGGACCCAGAAATAGATTATTTACTTTAAAGGGGATAATCAAAGAAAGATAATAAAAAAAGAATGTTTAAAGTTGCCTTGATCGTGATCCATAGGTACTTTTACAGGGAGAAGATAACAAGTATTAAAGGATCTTTAAGCTTTCAGAGATGAATGCATAATATAAACTGCTGAAAGTTTGGACTGGACAAGTAAGATCCCAGTTTGCAAACTGGGGGAGAAATGGAGGACAACCATGCAGGAAATAATCTTCTAGATGAGTTAAACTGTTTAAATGGGGATTGGATAACTTCCTCAAAGCCAGGGTCTGCTTTGCCTCTTTTGGCACCTATGCAGGAAGGTAAGGGTGAAATTCTGGGGTGTTTCTATGCAGGAAGTCAAATAATTCGTCAATATGAGCCCATCTGGCCTTAGACATCTGAGAGTACAAACCTTGCAGTGTGCCTAAGAGGAAGTACACAGTCACATGGAACAGATTACTGCTGAGGAAGAAAAAATATGTAAAAGTTAATAATGAGGAGGGGAGCAATTTGAGGATGTTTTAAGAAGAGTTTTGAAGAAAGAGGACTCCTGGCAGTTGATGTCAGGGATAGAAGAACTTCAAAGGAAAGTATAAAACCAAAATCAGGGGAAGAAAACCAAAGGAGATACAAGATAAAGACTGCTCTGAGCATGAGGAATAGATCAGGAGAGAAAAACACTGATTTAGAAGTAGGATAAATAATAAAGAGCTTTGCAGATGTGAATTAAGGGCCTGAATTTTTTGCAGTAAAGACATCAGCTGAAGGAGTCGAGTGGTCTGTACAACATTTTTAAGCTATAAAAGAAGTAGAAGACAGGCTGTGAGGAGGAAAAGCCTTTTCCAGCAGTTAAAAGAATCATGAAAAGAAGAAACAAAAGTAGTTGATGACACACTAGAAGATTATATACATGACCCAGTGATCAAAGCAGAGAGTGACATATCTAATCTAAAAATCTTTCTTCACAGAAGTAAAAACCAAGCTGTCCTGTTCGCCATCTATTCCCTTCCTCCTCAGAAAATTTTGCTCATGGTTGTGAGCCGACGCTAGTGAGTTCTGGGGCAGAGGAGTAGTTAGCAAGAGAAGCGTGCATCAATAGCTGTTGCTTTGGTTACAAAGGCACATGAGCATGTATAGTCGTGACAAGTTATTTTCAGCTTTGCACCGTGAAATAGAGAGAATATTAATAAAAAAAGATTATGTTGCCTCTGCTTGATCTCTTGGTGGTGGAATGTCCCAGTGCAGTGTCACATGCTACATCATACTGCATAATTGTTGCGGTGTGCACTGATGACATTGAAGTCAACCCTGATGCTGAGTGCACAGAAATCATCAGCTCGGGAAGGAAAAGGTTGTTACCAGTGCTGGGGATATATCTTCATGAGCAGTGTTTCTTAAGTGCTAGCTATTAACTTGAGTGGGAGTGGTACTGGGCACCCAGCTGCCTCTACTGCTTGGGTGTCAGCATATAGATACCACTGAATCCTTAGCCTAGCCCACGCTAAGGCATACGCACAAAAGGCACAAAATCGCAGAGCAATCTCTGTCTCCCAGTGAAAATCAAGCGCAGTGGGGGATCAAACAAATGGTTAGATCTCTACTGACATTTCAAAGCTTCTGCGGATAAAAAGATGACAGCAGCTCAGGTTCAGGCGAATGGCAGAGAAGGAGTGGGAACGGGGCACGAACAGCATGCGGGTGCCTCTTGGTGCTGCAGGGGTCCACAGTGGCCTACGCATCAACTCTCCGTCAGGAAGAGAAATGAGCTGTGAGGTCTGGCATGAAGCTGAGATGAGCCAGAGTCCTACCCCTGTCAAAATCCTTTGGCTCCTGCTGTCCAGAAGATGATGCTGAAAGCAATTCAGCAGCCCCAATTCTGTTCTGGGTCATTCCCACCTTAGCCCAACCATGGCTTTTGGTTTAGACTCTGTGAGGAGGCACCGTGATGAATCTTGTCCTTTATGCCACTTTTTCGGCCCTGTTACATAGTAGGACAGTCTGAACCCCTGGGGGAGAGGGCAGCTATGACAGCTCCTCCTTTAAAGGTTTATTCTTTGAAGCTTCGTGTCCATGACACCAAGAGGGGAAGTCAATGGATCCGAGTGTTAAGAGACAAAAAAAGACATTCCATTCGAAGAAATGACCCCTTCATAAAAACTGTTTGTGAACTCAAGTTTTTAAATGAGTCTGACCCAGTGGGGAAAAAAATCAAACTGTTCTGTACAGAAGAAATTCTCTGCTGGAAAGCATATGAGAAAGTTCACAGGCACTGCAAACACTAGCCCAGTGGGTAATTCTCTGAATGAGATGCACTTTGCACTCACAGCAGTACTGAAATTCAGGAGCTCCCAGGACTGAGATTTATTCCATTTTACCAATAAGAATGCAACTAATAATAGTTTTAAAAAGGAAGAATTTACAGTGCAAGTGAAGATAAAAGATCAGATTCTGATCTTTATTATTCTGTCTTATGTCGGACACGTTTTGCACCACTTTACATAAAATAGATGTCACGATCAGAATCAGACTCTGAAATTTTATGACAAGGGACATATATTGTTCCTAGTATCATCAAATTCCTTGTATGGACAAGGAGGACCTGAGGGCCAAGTCCACTGTGGGATGCAGAAGGGTCTTCTGCTGCCTGCGGCCCAGACGTTGCACTCCCTCTGAAACGCAGTTTGGTCGCATTGAAACCAGGGTGGGCGTGAAGGCTGGGACACCACTGGCAGTGATAAGCTCCTGCAGCAATAAGCCTCTCTCAGCAAAAGATCTAGCATCTCTTCACCTCCAAGTTTGTATTAAGAGTTCTCAGAGCAGAAGGGGGTACCCTGAAACTTAAATTTGTGCTGATGCGGCTGAACAGCCATCTCAAATAAGTATCACTCAAGAGATGAGTCTCATTGAAGTCAATGGTCTACTCCCCACATAAGTAATCTTTGTAGACCAGGGTCTTACCTAGCCATCCTTCACAGAGCACTTTAAGTTCCTCTGAGACCATTTGTTACGCTCATTTTTTCCTCCCCTTCCGGTTGAAGAGTTTGGAAAGGTGTCAGAGGATTAGTATCATGCAAATTGCAGAAGGAAAGTGTCACTAAGGCAGGAAGACTTCACAAAAAATAGCTTAGGGGACTATACAGTATCCAGAATTAAATTTTATAGCAGTCCATAAAATTGAAGTATGAGCCAAGGGTTAGCAACCTTGAATTTTGCCCTTAAAATTAGTACAAGAAAATCTACTTCATTATAAATACGATAGTACTATACAGTGTCCTGTTGATTGATATGCCCAAGAGCTACCTTTGTCGGCAGTCTTTTAAGCAGTAATCCCTCATTTTGGTCTTAATAGTGAGATAGGCACCTCCTTCCTCATTGGGCTATCAATTTTTACCTGCCAATACAGTTTGATGAGTTCGCTTGTACGCTGCTCGGTGCCTCCTGCCATCCAGTATATATGGTGGGCGATCATGCTGCTCCTGATGACAAAAGCAGAATAAATGAGTGTACAGGGAGAGAAAGGTGTATACAACAATATTTAAAGGAGGTAATATTAAGAGTGCAACATGAGGTTTGTATCAAAACATTACACATAACTCTCAGCCTTTGGCCAACTTTAAGACAAGTATTAGTAAACATTTTTAGCTAGCTGAACTATCTGCAACCAAACAACCCTACATTTTCTTTTAATAGCTTTTCCATATTTTACCCTGAGCAAATATTTAATGACTGCTATGCAATATTTTAGTCTGGCTTTTCTTTTTGCTTTAAAATATTTGTGGGTGAAATGTCTTACATGTAAGTACACTTCTTCTAGGATAGCATCAACATGTATAACACTCTGTCGCTTGGCAGTCTGAGAATATCACTTGTCTATGGCAAACTCAGACATAGCTCACTTTTGATTAAACTATATCTTAACCCCCCCCCCCCCCAAAAGAAAAGTAATCAGCTATCTTGCTACCTAATTGAGTATGCTTTAGTACTCCCACTGTCTGTGACAATCATTGCATTACTCTTTCTAGACTGAAGGATATTAAAAAACTATTGTGCAATGGATATTAATGCAGAGTCTTAACAGACTTCAGAAAATCAGTTTGCTTTTATGGCTGCCTCTCCACACTGCTCTCCATTTCCTTTCCTCTAGAGATTCCAAATCCAATTAAATGTGACTAGATGTAATTCCAAATTGTCACTTTAGTCAATTAAACATATAATAATCTTGTGTACCTAATTACTAGCACCAAAAGTTTATTTGTTGATGTAGTGCTATCAATGTGTACTTCTGCATGTTCCCCTTATCATTGCCTATATATTAATTGTGCTTTGACATTACTGTAAATTGAATTTGAAATTTCCCCCTAGTTAAAAGTGTCTCACAAACAGTAATCCCAATTCTGTTGTAATACCCTTTCAGAATGTACTTTCCAAGGCTGTATTATGTTCTTAATGAGATATAACCAAAAATACATGGATTTAACAATAAACATTTCAAAGCAGACCCAGTATCAGGGGGTAACATATTGTGACAAACAGGAACTAAATCTTCCCTTAGATGTTCTCATACAGCTCCCATTAATTTCACTGGGAGAAAAGCAATTCAGTAGAATCCATGGATTTCTGCATAAGGATTGGATTTAGCCATAAGCTTTATCCAATGCTCATTCAAATCATTGGCAAAAATCCTCTTGACTGCACTAGAACAAAGAACACTTTCTAATTGAACAGCATTAGCCCAGCCGGCACAGTATGAACAAAGGATGAAATCCTAATTGCTTTGAAAATCATTGGCAAAACTCTCATTGACACTAAATGGTGCCAGGGTTTAATCCCAGGAATGACATATGGATCCTGTGGATGAAGCAGAGAAGGTGAGCAATGCCTCTAGTTTTGCCTGCTTGACCTGGTGATGGTTTTGAGGAAAGACCTTGACTGTGCCCTGAGGGGCAAAAGGGAAATAACTATGTAGAACAAAATTGAGGGAAGACTTTCAATTAATCTGTCACGTTATTCTGTAACTTTGGTCTACTGGAGGTGGTCTACAAAGCTTCCAGCTCTCGTGGCAATGGTAATAGCTGGTCCCTAGCAGTGTATGTGAGCTGTGGTGGCCTCCTGTGGCCACCTCATCAGAAAGGGACTTTCAATCTAAATTTAGAGCAATCCTCAAGCACTAAAGCCTTGTCTTTTTTGGAGTCAAACGACATTTGCAAGTGATCACTTACAATTTGGGATCCTAAGGACATATCGCCTCCCAATTACTGTCATTTCAAGATTAAAACTGGCAAACCCTTAAACCCGAGTGTCACTGTCGCCAATTGCCCCCGTGGGAGCATTGCCACAGGTCCAACTCAATCAGTCAGCACAGAGACACTCACAGCATACTTTGCCGTCCCTACTAGAGGTCCCAGACTAGCAAAGTGAGGATCCATCCCACCTGCAGCACAACACAATATCCAGTTTGCAGTCTCCCACTCCTCGGTGGTAGCCAACACTTTCTTCTCCCAGTCTGGCACTGCTTCCAATGTGAAGATGTGCGCAGAGCCCTAGACAAATCTGGAATCAATTCTTAGACAAGTTGCTTCATCTTTCTCTGTTTCTCAGCATCAGCCGTAAAATGAGGACAATCATATTTGACTGATTTACTTATTTGGTGTGCGAGTCTTCCTGGCACAATCTTTTGCTAATTCTTCACAGCGAGCTCAGCACAATATCGCTCTGATAGTGGCAGAGGTCTCCTGGCATCGTTAAACTCAAGACAAACGTCTTTCCTCTTTATTCTTCCTTCTTTATTTGTTCTTATTTAAATAATCAGAAGCAAGCTTACATTTCAAGCATTCCTGTTTAGTTTTTCAACATCTGCTTTTATCTCTGCTAGATTTCTCCCGTACTGCCATGCGTTACATCAGGAATGGTGAAGCACATAAATAAAACCCCTCCGAGCCTTTTGAGTGCCTCCATCCCAATTTTACTTCTCAGTTCCTCGGTTGTCAGTGAGCACGCACAGGTCAGGACTGATGCTTGCTACTCTGACCTCAGGGCTTATGAGGGACTTACTTAAAAAATTCCACTTTCAAAAGAAACACAAGCACTAAGACTCTATGTGGGTGGCCTATGTCCAACCCCAAATCTGCCCAAGTCAGAGAGGTTTCTTTGAAGGCCTCCAAGGTTCAGTTCTCAGAACCAAAGCAACACATGCAATGGAGATCTATGAATTTCCAGATGCGGGGACACAGGTGAAATTATGCTGCCTGAATATGGTTGTAGGGCTAGGCACTGAAAAATACTTGGGGATCTAAACACTAAGAAACCAAAGGACTGACTGAAATATTTAGGTGGGTTACAAGCCCAGCTCCCACTGAAATACATGATGGCATAAAGCACAGATCTGAGTTCCTGACTCCCATTGAGTACCTGTCCACGTGGCCCATACAAATCCAGGTAGCAAAAACTTTCAGTAAGAGACTTACAAGTGCATGAGACACTCTGAGCCTTAGGTAAAATATTATTTAAACAAATATTATTTATGAAATTATTATTTAAGATCCTCAGCCAGTGACCAAACTCATTAACATCTTTTCTTTCTCATGATGTTATCGATATGGCTGATATATGAACTATATCATATTAGTATATTACATATACTATATATGACTTGGGATAGTATATACACAACCATATTAGCATTTCAGCAGTAGGTAAGGGCCAGAGTAGGTCCTACTTCGCATCTCCTGTAAATTATAGGTCCTGGGGAAATGGCAGCTTGTGAAGAGCTGGATGGAAGAGGTTTCAGTTCAGGTCAGTTGGGATCAGCTATTACATCATGTGGAGATTTTGGACAAGTGATGTTGGCCAGCAACAGACCTCACCCTGATTTGTACCTCTAGAGTAAGAGTTCAACTTTGAACCTTCCTGAGCACAAGGAACATAGAGTACAAAAGAATGGGAAAATAGCTCCTATTTAAACCATGTAATGGATTTTTCTAAATGAAATGCCATTTTTTATTTTTACAGTTTTTAAAGATAGTGGGATTAAACTCTAATGGTAAAGACCAGATACATGCATCCTCTTCCCACTTCTGACACAACCACTTCATTGATATTCAGAAATATTGGCCTCATATTTACAGAACCATCCACCACTTTTGAGTTACTAATTTGAAATACTTAAAACGTGACTGAGTTTCAGGTGTGCAGCCCACCAAAGAGCTCTGTTTGACGTGAGAACTGAAGTACTTCTGAGAATATACCTTAGGGGACGTCAGAGAAAATGTGACACTTCCTTCTTGCAAAATATAACCTTTTATATATATATATATATTTTTTTTTTTTTCCTGGTTGTTAATTCGGGTCAGTGTGAACTTCCATAACATAACTAGACCCATCTGTGTTAATGTTGTAAGCCAGGATCCAAAGGTGTCTTGCAATATCTGCTCAATCTGGCCACTTGGGGGGGCAGAACAATAAGATATATTTCTATATGTGCAAGCACAGAGCACACCACAGATCCTAAACCAGTCGTCTCCCTCAGCCCATCTCCAGACATGCACACGATTTGTAAGAAAAGAGTCAAAAGTAGCTTTTGCTGCATGACAGCTCCTGACACCAACCACCAAATCCTTCGCAGCAGCCACACGAGTCTGTGGCAAGAAAATGGATGGGCTGGGTTTAAAAAAAATAGGTGGAGTTTTCTGGAATGCAACAAAGTGTTACTTTGCTGAAGAAGACAAGAAATTAGCCTTGTTGCCAAATGCTTCTGTGTTCATTTCCCACTGCAAACACTGGAAAACTTGAGGGCGAGACTCAAGGTCAACCCCTTCGGCCTTGACTGCTCCCCCTGAGCTGCACAGAAAGAAAGGGGCCCTGAAGGGGAGGGGAGGATTCCTCTGCAGATGGCGGAGCCGCAGCAATCACCACAGCCCATGCACATTAGAGTAACTTTCCCTCTTCAATGCTATTCAGCCCCAGCTGCTGCTAAGATCAGGAGGCGGAGAAGTGGCAGAAAATGACCTTTGCTCTCTGCTTCAAGTGATCCCACCTGGATCTGCAGCAAGTGGTACTAATAGGAGGCCTCAGGTGCTGCCATTTGATGTTAGGCCTGTGCAGACCTGCTGTTTGAAATAGGTAAGTAAGTGTATCTCTTTTTTTTTTTCCAATATAACAGAAGCTTTAATATTCCTGATGCAGACACCTGGGTATTTGAGATCTCTAATAGTGCTGAGTCTGAGAGACAAGATGCAAAATAAGCTACTGCTCTCTTCTGGATGATCTGTCTTATTTTCTGCTGAGATTAGAAAAGGAAAATGATGTTGGTAACTGGAGTAAGTAAGAGGTAGTTATTTTAATGCAATTATCCCATTTGAAAAATGAACAAAATAAGAACAGTTAATTTTTAAACATCTCCATATATCCTACGTAAATGTAAACTCATTCCTTTGAGGTTATGGAGACACTTGGGAACCATTAGATGATAAGACATAAA